TGATCAGCTGTCTCAGAGATTCAGTGCTCTGTTGTATAATGTACACTGTGGGGCTCTTATATATATATAATGGAAAATCATAGTAAACTGCAAGCCTCTGCAAATATAATTATTTAAACATGAGCTAATGTAATACTGTATCTGCATTTGTGCATATTTTCTTATTTTCCTTTCTGAGGTGCCTGCAGGACTACTGCCACAAATCAACAGGCTCTTCATTCAAAAAAATGTGTTGTTCAAATTGTGTTTTTCAGCATTTGAAATGTAATGAAACTGATGTAAGCTCTGAACTGTTATTTGCTGGCAAAAGTGTGGAGAAAGCAGTTTCCTGAGCATTTTGTTTTTGTTTACACCTTTTTCACCCTTGTTTTGCACTACTGCTCCTTGCCAGTCAATCACTGTTACTTGAACAGTCAGCTGTAAATCTGATTCTGTTCACTTCAGTTCAGTACTTCTCTTGTGTATGGCAAGTGATTGCAAGCTGGATTTGAAACTTATTACTGAATTTAATACTGTACAATTGTTTTGTGTTTTTCTATAACCAACTTTTAATGTTCACATTATCAGAGTTTGGCCTTGAAATATATGAAGTATGTCAGATTGCTTTATTTTGGACCTTAAAAATGATAATTTTCATGTAAAAGAAGCATTAAATACTTTTATATATGCACTTGAGAAATATGTCACTCGCTCTTTTTGTCCACAGAATATGATTGAAATAAAAGACTGCTTTGCAATCGTGTTCAATTCTTATTACTATCTTTCTTTATAATATTTTATATGATCGTTATTCTTTGTCTGCTGATTCTCTTGAAAGTGCAGTAACTTCCCCTAAAATGCAAAATCTTTAAATAAATGATATAATATATTTATGGCACCACCTGAAGTCTGTCATAAAGCCTAGTGTGATACCAAGCTATCTTAGTATCACTGAGACATTCTTAGAATGTATTTGTTTTTTGTTTTTTTTTAGTTAAAGTTTAGTAGGCTATTAATTTCTGTCATTGCTCTGTTTTTTGTTATTTCTGTTCTTTTTTTGTGTATATAGTTTTTATGTAATTTATTTTACTACATCAAGTAAAAATAAATAAAAATGAGAAATGTTGCTTTGGCACCTAGTTGTTGTTTTTTTTTAAATGGTATATTTTATTTCAAGTAAGCAAACATTTTTTTAATGGTTTTGGTTGTAGTTAAATATATTACCCTGGTGCTAACTAACGCACAAAGATGCTCAAAAAATGCTGTCTCGGTATGTAGACCCCCCCAGGTTTCGAGATCCAACCTGAGTGTCGAGATGCCACATCCACTGCTGTTCTAGTCACGGCTGGTCGCCATATTAAACCTGACGGAATCGGCGACGCTCCGCGGTAGGGATCGCGAGGGGCCCTCTCCAAAACAAATCTCGATTTACACCTTCATTCCCCTAATTCACCCCGGGAGTCATTTATGCATCGGACTGAATAAGTAAGTCTTTTCTCAGACAGGAGCTGTCTGGGAAGGAGGTTTAGTTTTAGTGTTTGAGATATGAGTACTTTGACCCAGCGGAGCTCCGGCCTGGTGCAAAGACGCACCGAGGCTTCGCGCAGCGCTGCGGCCGCAGACAGAGACCGCGGATCCGGCGACGAGGACTACGAGCCCCGCCGTGGAGACGAGCAGGACGTGGATGACAGCGGTGATTCCAAGGAAACCAGACTGACCCTGATGGAGGAAGTACTGCTGTTAGGCTTGAAAGACCGCGAGGTTGTTGCTGTTTTGCTTTATTTTGATTTGTAACGTTAGTTGACTCACTGTAGTCGATGTTTAGCCCTTTATCTCTTCTTCACTCACCATGATCGCTCCCAGTTGATAATTTAGCTCTTTAAAGAAAGAAGGAGCTGAAAACAATATGGTTGTTTTTTATTTTAGCCCGTTTGTTTCTAAATTGGTGACGTTTTGACTTAAAGTCAGCCAAATGATTGCTGTGATGCAATGTAGCTTTTAGCTTGCCTTGAACTGCATTAGAAGTTGTCTCTCTGGCCCACCAGACTGTCATAACAAATAATAGTTAAGTGAACTACATCGGTTAAAAAACAGACTAACCCATTTAACTCTCTAATATACAAATATAGTCTGTTTCGTGTAGCATAATGTAGCCTAAGCAGTGTGACATTTTGATGCTATGACATTATTATGCCATATCCACATGAAATATATTATGATAGTTTTATATGCAATATGTAACTGATAAGAGTATGAATTTGAAGCAGTTGTGTATATACTGATACAAATCGACGGTCAAAAGATGCATGTTTGTAGTTAAAATGCACTCATCCCCCTGTCCTTGTCACAGGTCGCCCACATGCACACATTCTTAAGATGTATCCAGATATGCTTAACATAGTCATAACAAGAAGCATTTTGGAGCAAATCCAAAGATGAATTTTTTGTAGTTTGTTGTGGTGGTTCTCCACGTATGTCTTATCTGAAACATAGGTCTCGAGACCTCTACTAAGAAGTTTTGGTAACATTTTATTTTAAGGTGTCCTTGTTACACATGTTACGTACTTACTATTATAATAACAACAATAAATGATGCATAATTACATGCAAGTAACCCTAAGCCAAACCCTAATCCTAACCCCAACCCTATAGTAAGTACATGTAGTTAATTACTATTACTCAGTACTTAAATGTATAATTACACTGTAACAAGGACACTTTAAAATAAAGTGTAACCGAAGTTTTTATTGTTTTATTTTCCTGATAATGACATCACTCGCTACAATGTGATGAGGTCATGTGATAACGGTGTAGCCATACTACTGTGTTTGTTTTCGTGGAATAATGCCTTTCAAGTATACAGTGCTGTCTTATCTGAAACATAGGTCTCGAGACCTCTACTAAGAAGTTTTGGTAACATTTTATTTTAAGGTGTCCTTGTTACACGTTACATGTACTTACTATCCGGTTGGGGTTAGGATCCCGGTTTGGCTTAGGGTTACTTGCATGTAATTATGCATAATTACATGCAAGTAACCCTAAGCCAAACCGGGATCCTAACCCCAACCGGATAGTAAGTACATGTAGTTAATTACTATTACTCAGTACTTAAATGTATAATTACACTGTAACAAGGACACTTTAAAATAAAGTGTAACCGAAGTTTTTATTGTTTTATTTTCCTGATAATGACATCACTCGCTACAATGTGATGAGGTCATGTGATAACGGTGTAGCCATACTACTGTGTTTGTTTTCGTGGAATAATGCCTTTCAAGTATACAGTGCGTAATGCACAGTATTCAGTAGTAAGCTAGTATTCCATTGTGATTATAGCCATTCATTATGAGGGACTTCACCAATATGGAGGATCTGTTTGGAAAAATAAAATACATGGGTCATCGACGATAGGCAATTATTAACTCCCCAAATCAATGTAGAACTCTCATAGATGCCTCAATGTTGAATTAACTTATATGACTGTCTAAAGGGAAAGAGGCCTAATATTAGCGAGTTTGGCTGTGAGATGCCTGCTGTAATTGTGTTGACTGACCCTTAATTAAGGTTCATATAGGTAGTGAATTGCACCTACCTCATTGTCTGGCCTCTGTGGTTACATTTTGGTCAAGCAGGCATTCAACAGTGCAGTGTTACTGAAGACACCTCTCTTTATAGCCCATTCATGTCAAATTACTGTCTGCTTTCAGTTATACTCTCAACAACGGCTTTTCAATATCATTCTAAGTGTTTTATTTGGGCTGTATGTGGATTTCTTTGCCCACAGACCTCAAACAGTGCATCTTTGGTTGTTGTACATGTCAAATATCAGGTTTGACAGTTTCAAGAGACACTATTTGTCAATCAATTTGTAGAATGCTCTGCATTTTAAGTGAAAGATTTTTGCTTTTTCTTAGCATATCAAACCTGGAATCGTTCTGTCATTTTTCTCCTACAACAGAGATTTGCAAAGGGTTGACTTTTAGATTTATATAGTTTCTTTCCCTGTTGTCATGTTTAGATGTTTATGATCTATTCAGTGTTATACGCTTTAGAGTTTGTTCACTAGGTTAGTTTTGCAAGGGTGGTAGATAACTTTCCTTTTATTTTTAACAGCAGTGCACAAGAACATTATTACAGAAGGTCTTTAATCCCTGCCATGTTCAGTTATTGAATATCATGTAGAGCCCTATACAGAGGCCTCACTTAAGATTTGCTTATCTACATGGAAAGCAGCAGAAAGGATAAATGGCTTAACTTAACATGTCCCAGTACTACAGTTTGCTCATGCTTATGGTTGGCACAGAATTGACAGAAACATTGTCAACAAACAAACACTTTAGAGTCTGGCTATTGGTTCTGTTGCTTGATTGGGAGAATCTTACACAACCTGTCAGAAACATGTGTAGGTCATATTTTACTCCAAAATCAAAAGGAAAAAAATAAAGAATTTGTGATTTATTGTCATGCAAGTAATGCCGTGTTACCCTATTACATCACAATAATGCATTTTGGTAATGTGAATAATTCTGAGCAGCAAACACCATCTTAAACCTGTG